CGGTACAAATAAAACATTTTGTTTCACACCACCAATAATACATTGAATAAAAAGATGATCAGAGCGTCCGCGGGCGGGCTGGGCGGGTGCGGGCGGACGCGGGCGGGCTGGACTGGGCGGGCTGGACTGGGCGGGCGGGGGTCGCGCGGGTTCGTGGTGAACTACGCACGCTCATTACGGTGACCCCCCCCCCCCCCTATCCACAATTCAAATTTAAACTCACAACTTCATATTACCTAGTTGCCACGGGTTTCCATCGGCACTACAATTAACCGTTAACACCCACCCCTTTAAAAAAAAGGCGGACAACATTACAAACACACACACCCAACAATTCAAATTTAAACGGACAAGGTGTTCATATTACGTCATTGTCACGTGATTCTATCGTAACTAGGGTCAACAACCACGCCCATAAGACGTTGCTAAGGTAAACAAAACAGGGGAAGATAACCCCTACCGGAAATACCCCTTTAAGTACCGTATTTTACTACTCCACATGTCATCACCCGGTTTGTAACTGGATTATAAAGTTAAACTTGCATAAAATGAAATAAAATGAAATGGGGTTTAACGTTGTACTGTTCTGCTCCGACTGGGCTGATGAAGACGGACATACGCCATACACTATGGCCTACCCTTATATCAAATTTCAACTGCCAAGGGATCTTTTACATGCCACCCAATGTGTATATCCGAACGACTAGACAACTGTTCTTGTCAGGCCTTCCGTCCTGCACTCTTGACAACGGGAAACCACGTCGGAAAATCCCGTTGAAATTTCTCGGCCAATGTAGGAATCGAACATGCGACCTCCAGGCTAGCGAGCCAGCGTCTTACCCACTTACCCATCGTGGCTCCCAAACTTGCATAATTGCTTAAAACACCTATTTTATTCCATTGTTAGACGTAGAACTATAAGCGGGCTGTAGATGCAAAATAATAGTGCTTCAATACGGCATTTTGGAAATAATTTGAGCCTTCATATAGACCTCACAGTATATGAAGTATATTTAAATAGGGGGGTTGGATGGCTGAATGGTTAGCGTGCGCGCGCTGTATCATAAAGTCTGTCATTGAGTCGACTGGCGTGGTTTCGAATCCCCGGTTGTACGTGACAAGGAGTAGAGTCACCTGTCCAACCGCGTGGGATTTCTCCGGGTCTTCCTGTTTCCTCCCACTGCTAAACACCCCTATGCGCAAGCAAATTGTTGAAATAAAATTGAACCACGTGTTAGTCCCGGAATGACGTAGTTTGTGTCGAGTGGACGTTAAACTCTCCCTCTCTCTCTCTCTATTTAAATATATCCCACGCGGTTGGACAGGTGACTCTACTCCTTGTCACGTACAAACGGGAAATCGAAACCACGCCAGTTGACTCAATGACAGGCCTTATGATACAGCGCGCACGAGCTAACCATTCGCCCCCCTCCCCCGCCTATATTTAAATATATTTCTGGAAGGATTTATTGATATCACCATGCAAGGTATCTTATGTAAGCATTTCAATCGAATTAACAGTTCGCAAAGATTAAAGAAGCATTATGGCTATCATAATTAAACAATCGATAACGTAAATAGAATATGTTGAAAATTTGAGTCCAATTGCTCCATTCTGACCCGAGATATTACCGATTGAATTTTAAGCATAGCCTCGATCATCATCACAAAAGTCGGCAGGATAAAAAACATAGTCTGGATTATCCACTTTTGGATTTAATCATCAATGAGCGTTGAGCAGCATAGACAGATTCCGTTGAGCGGTAGATCGGATTCAAATCCAGTGAAAATCCGACACATACGATGACATCGAGAGTTGATTATGGTCTTGATAAGTTAATTAATGTCTAATTAATAATTTATATAACATTTCAGGCCTAAAGAAAGACCTGCAATAGGCAGATTTAGCTCTTGCATAATGTATGTTTAACCATGTGGAGTTTCAGACAGGTTTAACCCTGGTGCTGCAGTTCAGGTTAAACCCTAAACCATTTAAAACCAACCGTAACAAAGTATAACTTACAGGCTCGGGACTGTACAGTGCATTGGATGCTTACGGCTGGTCCCTGGATCCATTCACTTGATTTGATATTTGTTTATTTGGTGCTTCTATGTTCTGTCTTGTCCACAGGTTTATCTTGTAGATTTTTGTTTTGCGTGTAGTGCGGTCCTCCTGCACTTACTATTAGACATGAATTGGCCCATTAAAACCTGTCGAAATTCTTGGCTTATTCCACTGGTCGCATCGTATTTGAGAGTAAAGGAATTATTGCCACTTATCAACTTCTCTGAGACTGAATCGAGTAAATTATTTCTCTGTCATTGAAGCCCTGTAACATTTTATAATGAATAATTAAATGGAGTTTAACGGCCTACTACTAATCTGCGCTGACTGGGCTTATAAGAGAGAGAGAGAGAAAGGGAGAGAGAGAGATGGGGTTTAACGTCCACTAGACACAAACTACGTCATTTCGGGACTAACACATGGTTCAATTTTATTTCAATAATTCGCTTGTGCGTAGGGGTCTTTAGCAGTGGGAGGAAACCGGAGGACCCCGAGAAAATCCACGAGGTTGGACAGGCGATCCTACTCTTGTCACGTACAACCGGGGATTCGAAACCACGCCAGACCTTATGATACAGCGCGCACGTGCTAACTATTCGGCCATCCACCCCCCCCCCCGGACTAATGAAGACGGGTATGCGCCATACAGTGAGTTATGAGGGGAATTTTGTCCGGACAACTGTACTAAGGCCTACGCCACAGTGTGCTATTTTAGAGGTGTTAATTCTTTCTTCGGATATAACAGATAACTAGTCTGTTGATCTGAAAGTGGTTAATTTAAGAAACATTAATTATATTAGCGATTGGCAGATTACCAAACCATTATACTATGACGATATTTTGTTCTGACGGCCTACTCTTATTTCGAATTCCAAATGTCAGGGGTTATTTTACGAGCACGCCAATGTGTACACGGGACCTCCGTTTTTCGCCCCATCCGTAACGACTATACGTTGTCCCTTGCCAGGCCCTCCGTCATTACACTCTAAGTCACAAATGAGTTTATGATAATAAATAGGTTTGTTCAGCTGGTGGTCATGATAGAGAAATCTTTTGAATTTCCAAATCATGCGTCAGCTATCCGTGGAACTGTGGTGCTAATAGGACAACTTAATCTATATGGATTATCAAAACAACAGAGATAGACTTTTACAGGGGACTTAACTACGTACCAGCTTGTGATTTTCATACGGAGACGCTGGCTCGCTAGCCTGGAGGTCGGGTGTTTGATCCCTGCATTGGCCGAGAAAGTTCATCCAGATTTTCCGACGTGGTTTCCCCTTGTCAGTGGTGCAGAACGGAGGGCCTGACAAGGACAGCTGTCTAGTCTTTCGGATGAGACGAAAAACCGAGGTCCCGTGTATACATTAGAATGCACGTAAAAGATCCCTTGGCAGTTGGATTTGATATAAGAGTAGGCGATAGTGCCGCTCCCCGGGAAAAATATCCCTCATAGCACACTGTATGGCGTATGCCCGTCTTCATTAGCCCAGTATAGGAGCAGAACAGTAGGACGTTAAACCCCATTTCATTTCATTTCATTTCCAATATACAGCAATATATTTAAAAGTAGATTGATGTATCCGTAAATAGACTTAGATACGTTGTTACCTGTGGCTTCTGCAAAACGCATGTACATATATTTTAGATACGGCAATAGGAAGGAGTGATATGAACATACGCTCGTACATAGCAGATGGCTTTATCCGCCTACAATTTAAATCATATATTACCGTTGGACACGGAATATCCATTCACTAATCATTTCTATCTATATAAAAATAAATGTATCGACATTTGTAGTAAGGGCAAATGTATCGATAGAGAACGGAATATTCCACTTTCAATATTAGATTACCAACTATTTTGTCCTTTTTTCTTCGAGTTCATCATTAAAAGTCCAACCGATCGTAGGCGTGGCCATGTACTGAATAAAAGGCAAGATGGTTGTGGGTGTGAATGAGATGTTGGGAGGTCCATATAGGAAACAAATTCCTATCTTTGTTACTTATTCCGGTTGTATTTGACAAGGATTAGGGTCGCCTGTCCAACCTGGTGGGTTTTCTCCGGGTCCTCCGGTTTCCTCCCACTGCTAAAGACCCCTACGCGCAAGCGAATTATTGAAATAAAATTAAACCATATGTTAGTCCCGAAATGACCTAGTTTGTGTCGAGTGGACGTTAAACCCCATCTCTCTCTCTCTCTCGTTACTCATTAAGGCTTTGCATACTAAGGCGTATGTTCATTAACGTTCAGGATCGATTGATCGCACCTTCGCCTGTATATCGAAACTTCTCTTTAACGGTTTGATACACGTTATTTACATAAAAGCAAAGAGATAGTCTGTTCGATATAATTTGGAATGAATAAAACATGTACCGGGGTATAGATATATGAAACAATATGATTGTATATCATATTCATTTAGATAAGATCGATTCTAATAACAAAGATCGCTCTCTAACTATACAATCAACGGCGAAGATTAAACACATGTTCACTACTTTCACGATGGATTCACGGAGTGACAACAAAGTGACGAGCGAACTGGAGTGTTGTCATAATGTGTTATTTTAGAATATTACATTAAGACGACAGAACATCATCATAGAGAAATGTCAATTAATGAAACATGTTGTTCGTTATGTTTTTCTGTTACACAGGCAGAACAATAGAGCAACAGAATTCAAAACTTTAAGTCACGGCACGCACTGCGTCTATTCCCTTCTCTTTGATATAAAAGGCACGATACATTTGTCGAGTATGACATTTCTTTAAGTTGTAGTAGGAGGGACGGAATACAAAAAAAAAATAGACAATAAACGTCTTGCTTTGTGTAGTAATATCCATGGCAATCGATTAGGTTAAAGGTGGAATTGAGAGATTATTTACAATTTCTTCACCTGAGTCCATTATAAACATATTACTGCTTCGATGTAAGGTAGTTATTGGGTCGGGTAGCCGTGATTATCAGTGTCGGTAATTGTTAAGTATCGGGTACATATGGGCGGCGTATAAGACAAAAACGTCACATAACTCTAATACGAGGGTGGCAGTGCTTAAGATCACGTGACAGCAAGTTGTTGGACAGACTTATGAAATGGCGGTATTATATATTTGTCAAACCAGCGGTCATCGTCTGCCCTGCTAGACCAATGTCGTAGAGAATATAGTTTGAATTGATTGTTAATTTATGATATTGGGACTTGATGGTGCTAGGACTTCAAGTACGGTCTAATGTTGACTCTTTGCGAGCTGTGGCAATTACTGAATAAATGTTTACTTGGAATTTTTGTATTTTTAACATTTTCAGGTAAGTTTGGAATATTTATTGTGTTAACTATATGTTTATTGTCTAATTTATAAGGACCGCAAATAAATTTCTGTGCTTGATCAGATTGTTCTTCAACCGGACTAGTGAATACGGGATACGAAAAAAAACACCATTTCGGGACTAACATAATATAGTTAATGCTGATATGTCTTTAGCTGCTGAAGAAATCGACAAGATTAGACTGGCGGCCTTTATCCACACTATCATGTTTTTGGATTTATCAATAAAACTTAAAACATTTTCAATTCTGATTTTATCGCTTGAATTAGTTCAATGTTTTCTAATCGTTAGGTGTGTGCGTGTGTGTGTGGGTATGGCCGAATGGTTAGTGCTTGCCCGCCTGTCCAACCTCGTGGGTTTTCTCCGGGTCCTCAAGTTTCCTCCCTCTGCTAGATCCCAACGCGCAAGCGAATAATTGAAATAAAAGTGAACCATATGCTAGTGCCACAAAATAACCTAGTTTGTATCGAGAAGACGTTACCCACCCCACCCGTCTCTCTCTCTCTCTCTCCCCCCTCTCTCTCTCTCTCTGAGATACATTAAAATCCGCATGTGACATTCTAAGCAATATGAATCACTTGTCAACTACAATATTGTGAAAGATGAATCTCTAATAGGAATATCAGTCCAATATGGTTCAATTCTGTTCATTATTTAAAAAGATATCTGGAATTGAAATTTCATCGACATGTGGAACTTAAATTTCATCGATCTATGCAATAATAGGTCTGCCGCCATTTTGTTGTCCACGATAATTTAACGATAGGCTTGTTTTAAATCTAATTCAATCCAACCTGGAACATTATCTAGCGTTGTTAATTTGATTTTGTTTTCTTAATTAAATGTTAAAAAATCAACCCGGATACATATTAGCATGGACTAAGCTATGGGAAATTTGATATTCTAGCGCCAAATACCAATGGCGCATCGTTGTTATAAGAAATGTGAAACTACGTACATGTCCCCAAGGGCGGATCCAGAGGGGTCGATCCCCCCCCCCCCCCTGCTCAGCTACATAAATTTTTTTGTAAATCAAAACTTTTTATTTCAATAGTTTCTCGGCCGTGTGCTTTATCCCTTATCGTCAGATGTGGGTCAGGATGGGCACTCAAAGCACGAGATAATGATATAGACGTTATGTGATTTCACAATTGATGCTTTGCATCCATGAAATTGAATCACAATGTCATTGTATTAATTCGTAATAAAAATTGACGTCAAACGAGATGTTGAATGTTTAAAAAGCTCAGTGTGTATGTATATACGCCAAAATGACGATAGAGACCATGCGGGAGGGGGGGGGGGAGATACATTGTCTCGGGGACCTAGCAAACCCCCTCCTGCCAAAATTCCTAGATCCGCCCCTGGTCCCGTGTGTAAGAACTAAGATACTCTGTCTGGTATGCAGGGCCGGTTTTTAGCACACAGGGCGGTAGCCAGCTCAGTGCAACGAGGGGGCGGGAAGTGTTTTCAGGGGTACAGTAAAATTGACGGACAATGTATCAGTATTTTTTTAATGGTCGACAATTTTTTCACCGGGGGGGGGGGGGGAAACTTTTTGCGCCCCCCTAGTTACAGGCCCGTTAACACATTTGACCCATTTCCCCAAATTTTACCCCGCACTAGATGGGGACCTCGCAGCTCATTAACTTAAAAATTTTCAAGGCAATCTGGCAGCAGTAAAACTCCCATCAATACTTTAACTGTATATATGTATTAATCAATTATTAATTGTGAAGAGGGAGAGAGAGAGAGAGAATGGGGTTTAACGTCCACTCGCTTAAACTAGGTCATTTCGGGACTAACATATGGTTTAATTTTATTTCAATAATGCGCTTGCGCGTAGGGGTCTTTAGCAGTGGGAGGAAACCCGGGGACCCGGAGAAAACCCACGAGGTTGGACAGGCGACCCAACTCCTTGTCACGTATAACCGGGGATTCGAAACCACGCCAGTTGACTTAATGACAGGCTTTATGATACAGCGCGCACGTGCTAACCATTTGTCCATCCAAACCCCCTAATTGTGAAGTAAAGCATAGTTGGCCTTAAATATGAATGAATATAGGTCTAGTTAAAGTTATTCATACCCTACAATGTATTCCTGTAACTTCGTTCCTCTCAAATTGCGCCCCGCATTTTCTACAACCGGCCCTGTTGACACTAGGCTAAATCTATTTGTTAAGGCCAGGTTATTTATAGCAGATATGTGATTATTTGAGTTATTGATAAATGGCATATAGGTAGATTCAGAAATTACCAATAGGTCATTGGAATCCCTTAAAAATATTTCATGCTGATTTTTGGGAAATGGGGGGGGGGGGCTTTTGATTTACTGTATTTGAAAACGTCTTTTCGCTGCCGGCACAGTCAGTTTGTCAGTTTACGTAATGTGGTATATGTATTGTGTTGGATTTGTCGTTGTGCGGATGGTGGGGGGGGGGGTCTTAAGTACCGCACGCGGTAGCAAGAAAAATATACGGAATACAAATACAGGATCTTTGCGGGGCCTGTGTCGACATTGCAACTGGGGGCAACTGCTTTCAACAAGCTGCAAGTGTGCACCGGTCAATCAAATCAGCAACTGAGCCCGACACGGAGCTGATAGCAATAACAATTAACACGTGATTGTTAATTAATTTATACACATGATCTTGCCACAATTCCGCTATTACATTATTGTCGACATTATCGACACTTGAAAGTTGGTGCCTCGGTTAGCTTCCATTTTGCCTATTTACACTGTCACACGACATATTTATCGTGACACGTGAATTTGTTTCCATGGAAACGAGTTGAAGCCATGCGTTAGAGCACTCATGTTGCCGCGAGTCGCAGAAAGTTAAACATGGGCAACTGGCATCAACTAACTGCAACTAGTTGCTTCGAGTTGTAAGAGGCGCTAAGGTCCACCCCTTTCAGTTGAAGTCAGCTGAGGCCAGTTGCTCTCCGTTGTAAGAACGATATAAGCCCCGCTCTTGGATAATTTAGAACAAGTACAGCAAGTAGGCTACCGCAAGAACTCTTTTATCCAGTTTATTGCACGTTAGTAACTATTCAGTGACGTAACTGGACGAGGCCTGATTTTAACATAGAAGTGAGACTTCTAAAAGACAAACGTAGACTTTCAGAGGAACCACCCCTGCTACTGACTATACTAATCCCTGACTGGGTCGCGATTAGTTAACTTCACCTTCGAAAGATTGGATAATGAAATGAAATGAAATGGGGTTTAACGTCCTACTGTTCTCCTACTGGGCTAATGAAGACGGGCATACGCCATAAAGTGTGCTAGGAGGGAAATTTTGCCAGGGCAGCGGCACTATCGCCTACTCTTATATCGAATTCCAACTGCCAAGGGATCTTTTACGTGCATTCCAATGTATACACGGGACCTCGGTTTTTCGTCTCATCCAAAGTACTAGACAGCTGTCCTTGTCAGGCCCTCCGTTCTGCATCACTGACAAGGGGGAACCATTGGATAATTAAAACACGACGGGATATAGTTTTTCTCGCATTTTATAGCCGGGACTATATCTCTATAGAGTCGAATTCTGACGCATACCAAAGTGAAACTCATTCAAGAACTTTTGATACTTAACACATTGTTTGATTCTCATCGCATGTATCGGACAAAAATTGTAGCCTCTGGAAGGTTAACAAACTTCATTCAAACGGATTCGCACCAAACTTGAACTCAATCAAGGAACTAGTGATGCTGAACACTTGTTTTAATTTTCGTTGAAATCGGATAAAAACTGTTGCCTCTAGAAGGTCCACAACCTTTGTATTACATACTTTTACTCTAATAGTGTAAAGGGGAGCGACCATTCAACGGGAAGTTTCCTTCCTCTTTTCAGGAAATCCGGAATAAATCATAATTATGATGTAACGGTGATATATTTGAACGGTTTTTACAATCATTAAAAATTGTGACCTCTACAGGGGCCCACAAGCTCAAACTGTGATTTTTCGTACAATCTGGGGAGAAGTTACGGTCCAATATCGACAGGAACCGAGATCTTTGGGTTATCAAAATCGGATAAAAATTGTGACCTCTAGAGTGTCCACAGCATAGGTGTTATCAGCATCACGGGAAACCGCCATCGACTGCATTGTTTTCATGGTCGGGATTTAAAACAGAATTAAATCTTCACTTCATTACTAAGTAATTTTTCTATCCAGAAATCGCTTAGAAAGCGTCACCGAAGATCTAGACCACCGGAAGTTTCCAGGACCTAAGCGGCTCCCGGACCCTCGCCTAAAGTCCTAGGGCAGTGATTCTCAACCAGTGTGCCGCTGCACAGGGGTGTGCCGCGAGATCTTCATAAGGGTGCCGCGAAATTCTGAACGGAACACTAAGAAAGTGTGAAAATCCACATGATCCCAATTGAGTATTCACTGGTGTCTACTGGTATGTTCATACCTGTGTTTTTCTTTATTTAGTTTGAGTCATTCTATGTGTCTTATGACTAGTATCTGTCTACGGTTGTATGCCGCCTATGACTTGCCATGTTTTTATTTTGCAAAATTCAGATATTTTTCATAAATATTTAGCTAGGTGTGCCGCTAATTTTCATGTGTTCCAAGGTGTGCCTATGGCATAAAGGGTTGAGAACCACTGTCCTAGGGTGATAGACACCCCCCCCCCCCCCCAAATTAAGAATTGCTTCCGCTGGCCCTGACGGACTTCTGGATAATGTCATATGATTGTTTTGTCAGTTAAAAAGGAATGTGTAAATTGGAGATTTGAATGCTAACTTCAATGATAACATAACTATTGGCCATGTAGGCAATGCGTCTTCAATAACGCTTTAATATCTGTCAGTTTAAGTATATTTACACAAAGAAAAACACCGATAGATCTTCGCTATTTTCAAGATTTGGTAACTCCTAGTGGAGCGATATTAGATATCATTACACTAAAACTTACCTCAGGTAACTTCCAGAAGCAATGGTCCGAAATATCCCCCTGACACTT